CAGACTACCTGAAATTACAATTGTTATATAAATGATAATAACTTACCTTAATGTTGAGTGTTAGTGAAGAAGAGATACTATAAAATTGACGCTTCCAAAATGAAAGCATTACAATTTTAGGTTGAAAATTTCATCATCAATTTATACGCTTTTAAAGTTGAAAGGAGGAGGGGAGGGTTAAGACAGAAAGCACAAAAATTTAATTAACAGAAGAATGTTGGCTTGTAGATTTACATAGCAACTCCAAAAAACAAAAGCGGTTACAGTGAATTCAGATCACTGAATTAGATGACTAATTAATGAAATCAAAATCAAAATTCAGTTATCAAGGGAGTCAGAAATTAATCACACTCTCTTTTTGTTTGCATAGGTCTGCTTTTAATCATTTGATTGCTATCGCTTAGGCAAATCGTAGTAAATTTGCTGTCCGGTGACAACAATATGTCTGGTAATTGCACTTTGAGAATATTTGCTTCCTTTGCTCCCGCAAGTGCACGTAATTTCAAAAACGCAGCTGGAGGTGACATCAGAAAGTTATTTATTCAGTTTGAGTGGCTTAAAGAAGAAGTGGTGCTGTAGACGTATAGACGAATCCAAAATGAAAGCTTTCATGATAATCAATGTGATTCTTCTGCTACGCAGTTGTCTGTACTTCGATGTTTTCTCCATCCTTGAAATAAATGAAGCATTACATGTCGTTCACCCTTCCTACAAAGAGCAGACTTTAAACAAAAATTAACGCAATTTTTCTCTACATCTTGCTTTACCTTCTTGTCGTGGTAAACGTGTGTTCATATTCTATTTTCGGTTTCACCAATACAAGTTTACTTTAACATTTATTATCGAATTAGATGGAAAAACAGGTGATGTCAGTGAAAATAGTTGCTCTGTCTATCATTAATGAATAAGGTTTATACTAAATATTGATTAATATACACAATGAATCAGTGACAATTATTTTCATCCGGAGAATTCACACGTGTTTGAGTCAGATGCAACAAACTGAGTTTTTGGACATATTTTGAATGTTTAAACATGCTTTGAGGAAGAAGTTTCTCAGTGAATAAATCTTGTGAACGTTAATGAATTTTGTTTGCTTAGACTGTCATATATGTTCGCCTATTGCTCACATGGATGTGACAAAAACCATATAGTGACACAGTTGTACAATTGTTTCACAAGTAAAATTCATGTCTTACATAAGTAGAAATCAATATAGAAGTAAATATTATTATCCACTACAGTGTAAGGTATCTTAAAAATTACATAAAACAGTTGGCGTCACAATGAAAATAAGCAAGTTGTGATAGAGTTGGATTGAACGAAAACAGAATAAACAGCCTAGTTTGATTAAACAGGAAGGGATATCTGAAGGTTTTACTTCCTTCCTCCTCAACATTCATCAGCGGAAATAAAATCTTGGACTGTGCACGTAATCGTGTAACTAAATCTCATTGTCACCAACCGGAAAAGCATGTTTGCTATTGAAGACTTTGGTTTATGGATATTTGAATTCGTATACCTATTTAAAACCAGAGAATAAATTTCAAGTTTGTAGACTATATAACTAAAATAAGTATATTAGTGTATAATGGAAATGATGACACCGAGATAAGAGCAGGAAGTGACTTTCTTGTAATTTTTTCTGTTAGTGTTGATTGAGGCTTATTATTGCTGGATAACCTCTTTAAGAATAAAAGTCACGCTTAGACGGATCCTGTCACTGGCAATTATAATGATGTTTGATTTGACACACTCATTATGATATTCCTAGAAACAATAGAATACATTGGTATTATACAACGTGATGTTGATTCGTTCATTATGCCTCTCGAAATACCATAAACTGTGATTTCTTCCGTTGGAATAACGATAACTGATAACGTTTAATTTTTATTGAACTGTGAAGGACTTTATGCGGAGAATAAATGTGCATTTTTTATCTTTGGAAATAAATGAATCGTTATTTAGGACTCTTGTGAACACCATAAAGGTTTCACAAACCGCTGATAGGAGTATCATTATTATTTTTGGTTTTTTAGTAGAAGATTAGCCTTCAGCAAGGAAATTCCATTTCTCTCTCTTTTCTGGAGTTAAGCTGGCTGTATGATTGACCGTAAGGTTTCATTTCATCCTGTAATGTCCTCAGCGTCATCCTCCAATCAATGTATTCATCGCCATGTATCCTACAGGTTCCACTAGTTGACCTGGCCAACGATGTCACTCAGCGTTTTTTTTCTCCAGCTTGAGTTCTGACTGTCTCAATCTCCCTCGTTGTTCGTTGATTATTTGCCGGAGTCCTTTGTTGACTGTACTGTCCAGCTTGCCATATGATTTTCAGTTTCAACGCAGCAGATACAGTTATTGTCATGGGTCTGTAGTCTGCTGAAGATGCTTTTAGTGATATAACTAGTCTCTGAATGAAATATAAGTCATGATTTCACACTAGAATTGAAGAATCGGATCGTGTCAATTATGATGAGTGTGGCAGGCTTGCACACCGATTTCCATATAGCCGATTTTCTTTACATACAGCTGGTTCTAAGGAGAATACATATTTCGTCATTCTGAAATTCTACTGTCTCATAATATATGTAGAGAGTTAAATTTAGCCATACATCGACAAAACTTTGAACTATTTGTTCTAAAACAGTTTTCTAAACTTCTTTCTTCACCTTCACTATCTTAATGTCATTATTGTTTTATTGTAGTTTAACACTTGAATTTATTGAAGTTCCCTTGCTAATCACCTTTATTGCTATCAGCATCCTACTTTTAATTTTTGACGATATTTGACCTATTTCAAAATCTCAACACCAATTCACTTCTTCAATGATATTCTAAGGTTCCAGTAATTCATCCACTCAACTCTACCACCTTCCACATTTTAGTAATAACCCTTATTCCTTTCATATATATACTGACTGAGTAAATTTAAACTTCAATTATTCCACATTTTCCTCAACATAAATATGACTGTCCAGGTTGAAAACTTCCTCTGTGCATATGACGTGTTGTGTTTCAATTGCAAAGGAAGGAGTTCGATGATTAGTTGAAATTCACTCGTTGCATTTTGGCTTCAGTAGGGTAGAGTTTGGCCTTTACCGGTTTTAATTTACTTTTAAATCATATTCTTCACATCATATTCAGGGTAAACTGTATAATTGGTTTATTTGACTGAAATATGGGAGATTGTGAAACTCGCATGTAATTGATTGCAAGATCGTGAATAGTTTACTCATCTGAATAATAAGAAATTCATTATTTATTTCACTATGTATATTTTACTATATTTCTTGTGATATATATATATAAATCGCTGCTCATTTGTACTAATATATTGACGAATGGGGAAGGTTTCTTCAATTTCCAGCTCTTATTATTCAGTAAACTTCACTGATGAAATACAGTTTGCCTATTTTCTGAAAATGTGAATATATTATTCATATCATTCTACGAATGAAATTAAAGATTTGATTTCAATGATGGGTTATACTTTCATTTAAAAACGTGAAGCGCAAGCAACTAAGTTTATAGGACTAACTATACTTGGCCCTGTTAGTTTTGAAAAAGGCCTCATTTTAACACCGTCTTTATATATATTTCAATATAAGTACGTATTTTCATGTTTCTACACAATGTTGATTTTCTATTTAACATACATAACGAAACTAATTTGACCGTATCTATATACTTTCAATCATTACCTTGGAACTATTCATGATATTCAGATAATATCGAGATACTGAGACTTTGCGTAACTCTTTACATTAGAAATGTTTACGAAGAATATTAACTCGAAGGTATACTAATGGATGAGTATGTAACTATATTTCAAGAAAATATTAGAAGTCGGTTTATCTACTTCTGAATACAAAACATCGTGTTACATGATTCGCATGCTAACACTTACTCATGCTCGAATATATTTTTCTTATTCTTCAAAGTCATGATCGAAATGTTTACTCATAAATGTTTGCGTAAAATAGTTTTCACGAAAATCCTTTGAAACTGAGTACTGCAACATTGTGCAACATCATAAAGTAAGAAAAATAAAAGAACTAAAAATTATTGATGTCAGATAAGTTCACCTTTATTCCTATGTTTGCATTTTTTAATGGATGTTCACCGGATCACTACTAACAGTCCTTAATAGGTTTATTTAAGCTGCTTTTAATTCCATTCAGAAAGCTTTTCCACGTTTTGAGATAAAGATGTTAATATTCCTAAGGCACCTCTGGATGAGCGATAATAAGTGTATGAAATGATTCTAACTATCAGCTGTAATTTAGGTTGATTGAAGTGTGGAATGACATTCAACTGTCAACCTCAGCTTCATAGACTTTAAGGGAGTAATTTAGAAATAGCTTCAGCAATATACAGTACAGCATGCAAAAGTTTATTATTCAGATGCCATGTGATGATGCAATATGCAGAGGGATTCACAGATGTGAATAACCCATGGATGACTACTACCACTGATGTCACTCCTCTTTGTTGCAGAGTGGAACGATATCTGTATACTTTTTTTATCATGCTAATAAATTACATTTTAAACAAAGTGATTAGTGTCAAAAATGTCATTAGAACAGCAAGTCCGGAGACAATTTACCATGTCTGGATTTTATCCTCACCTTTCGCTATTTGATCCTATATTATCCAGAAGTTAAATTAAACTACACTTCATCAAATGTGACTTTCAAATTTGTAGTCAAAATTAGTGCATTCACGGAATGATATTCTTGGATTTAATGAACATCCACTGCAAACAAGACAGATATAAGATATAATGTGACTTTCGTTCATTTCGTTATTGATGACTGTTGTATTTTATATAAGATTTTTGAAAACTAAACGATATTTCGATCAAAGATAAACAGCTACACTATTATTGATAAAAGATTATACCATTTATATGCTCATGTAGAACTTTGGATCAAAGTCTAAAGAATGAGATGGATATATTCGTGCACACGTATTATTTACTCATATAACTACCACTCTAATCACATGTAAGTAATGCTTTTCTTATAATGTCTCGTTATGATAATGTCTGGTTGTTAACAAGAATTTGTTTATTAAGCTTCTTTTAGTTAAGTACTATTAGGGAGTCTGCATGAAAAATTCTTAGTACTTCTGTTGTAGTTTTGGAGACAATTATAAGAATCTTCCCAAGGATGAACATAATGAACCCAACTGCTCATACAAAAATAAAGTTTATGTTTTTTACATTTTTGAATGACAGCTTCACTTTTAAACCAATAACCAGTTTACTTAATGAAATTCCAAAGATGTCAATCACAATATAACATTAGTAGTTACACCATTATACTTACAAAAAATATATAGTAGTCTATTATTGAGTAATAGGGGGTGACATAATTGATATAATTACTCAGAAGTGGCTTTAGAAGTGAAAATTAAAAGTTGAAAATTACATGGTACTCAACGGCACACAGATAGAAATTTGATAAGGTTAAAATTGCTATTAAGTGAGAATAAAGGTATTTGAGTGTCAATTTAACAAGTGTGAAGAGAATGTGAAAATATACAAAAGGAGCATATGAGAATGATAATAGTGAATTAATTATTAAAGCAAAAGCTAACTAAAAGTGTAATTAGAATGAAAAGAAAAAAAATCAAAATATATTTTATTTACACGCTTTCCAAACGCATCTCTGAGGATTATCCGGCATGGATAGCAAAGGGACAATGTGAGACAATTAGTAGCTCAATTCTCGAGCATTTGGTGAACTCAGGCCACGTAGCTCTACCAGAATCGTCTTTCAAGATCATCTACAAAGTGAAGCCAAATGGTACAAAGGGCGTCAGGTTTAGGCTTTTGTGTGTGGCGGAGGCTCTAGCAATTCATCAATACAACCCTGAACTTTAAATACAGAAAAGGATGTCCAGTCTCTTATTCTACCTTGGTCTTAACCGCTTCACTAATCGTTCCTTGTAAATAAAATATATTTTTATTTTTTTCTTTTCATTCTAATTTCACTTTTAGTTAGCTTTTGCTTTAATAATTAATTCACTATTATCATTCTCATATGCTCCTTTTGTATATTTTCACATTCTCTTCACACTTGTTAAATTGACACTCAAATACCTTTATTCTCACTTAATAGCAATTTTAACCTTATCAAATTTCTATCTGTGTGCCGTTGAGTACCATGTAATTTTCAACTTTTAATTTTCACTTCTAAACCATTATATATTGAGAAAACAGTAAACTTATTGCATTCATTCGTCTATCAGATATCTCATAGTGAAATCGTTTAATTTAGTGACAACCTACCATTCACTGAACTGCTCCGATTTGTAACTACCGCAGTTTGTTATAATCATGATCAGCAGACAGTGACCTATCATTTGGAAGCTTTCTACCGATTAAGCTACTATAAATAAATGGATATATTATGTATATAAAACTGTGGAGCGTGATGATGAAGTTATCGAAAAGAGTATTCTTTGTTCAGTATCCATTCTCTTGAAAATATATATTTCTCGTTTTAGTATCCTAAACGCCAATTCGCCTGATACTTAGAATGCATGTGTTTCTGTTTACTTCAGACAAATATCTTCAATGGAGGCGAAGTACATTGTAGCAATAATTTGCATGTGAGTTCTAAATTTTGCTATACTTAAAACAAAAAACAACTAATTGATGCAGTGTGGTGAATACTTTATTTATGTTACGTTGTGATTACAATTTCTTTAGTTATAATAGCTAATCATCAGGAATACGAATGACGGACCGGTGTTAGCTTCAAATATCTGTGAATAACTAGTTTTCAAATAGTGTTCCAATTGCCATTCTGTTAATTTCACTGATGGTTTTCCGTGAAAAAACTGTACACCACTTGCATACGTTATATTTTTACTTGATTTTGTCACGCATTTTTGTGTATAAAAGATCGGTTGAATTTGACCTTTCACTGGCGACCAAGATGCTAACTAGTTAGAATGGTGAACTACCGTGATAAGGAATACCCTCAAGCCTTAATAATGTCATCTAATCATATCTGTCATATATTAGTCAACGAAGTGCATTCGTAGAGTGCCAATCAAGGCTTGGTTTATTAAATAAACGCATGAACTAATTCCGCTTACCACCTTAGTATCTAGAACTATCTCTTATTTGCACTAAAATAAATAATGTAAACTCGAAATTATACAGTCCATTCCCATGTCAAGTGAAATTATGCGATTCCAGAAGATAAATTCCTTTCGATAATTTACCATGTGGTGGTGTGATGCATACAATTATTGCCAGCGGAATATGATTCTTACAAAATCGAACTTTTCACACAGTTCAGAACTGTGTCACCAGCATAATAATATGTATATTTGATTATTCTATTTCATGTCGTTTAATGGAAACCAAAATAAAACGCGCAGTGATTGCTCAACGAACAGAAACTTTGTAAATGAAAAATATACCATGGCTTTTGCGTCTAGCTTACGGTTGTTACAATACAATAAATGTGACAATAAACAACTGCATTTTATTTCATTTCAAACACATTTCACCAAAACATTCTATGTAATTCTTCATTTCGGTATTTCAGACTGGTTTTCGTGGCCTTTGTTTCAACACTGTTCTTCAAATTCAGGCATAAATTTCTAGTCACATGCTCGATCGTTGCAATACTGGTAAGTTTACTAAAAGTGCAAAAGGCTGAGTTGATGCTGCTCAGTTATATCATGATTGATTCTCTTTTTTGTTGTACCATTCAGAAGACAACTTGTAAGTAAATTATTCAAATATGAACCTTTAGAGTGATATAGAGTGAATTGAAACACTTCGAAAAAATATTCCCCATCTTAATCCAGCCACGTCCGGAATACATCTCATTTGTCATAAGGGAGCAAAAACGTTTCTCTCATTGTATATACAACCCAAATCAATGAAGATAGATATTATTCGCATGAGAGATATTTCATTATGAATCAAGCGTAAGTTTGTTGATGTAACATACGCAGAAGTATACGACAACCCGTAAAACACCGAACCATATTCTACTGTGTTTTTTCTGTTACTGTTCGGTTTAGTATTTCAGTTCAATGCTCATTGGTGAAAGATTATTGCATTCCTCGAATAGTTTTCATCACACTCTGATCACTTTCAAGATTCAAATACGCCAATTAAATTCTCACTCGACTGTGATGCCCAATCAACACTTCAAAAATGCATATACTGTCAATGTCAATAAAAAGTTTGAGCATTGTGTAATGGATCAAATGAAGTATAATTAAATTTCACTGGTTTACAAACAATGATAAGTATTTGTTTTTTGGTAATATTTCGAGGGAATCATAAACGTGTGAATTAAAAACAAAACAGTTCCTGCAGTTGGTGTGATCTCGAAAAGTAATTTTGCTCAAAATATTTTCGAAAAACAAAAATGAACACTAAGTTTAAACTATTCAGATATAATTACAGTTTATTTGTTCATATACTATCTTGGATGCAGAGTCATTTCCACTGATGTATCTGCCTTATTTCGACAAATCTCATCGAAGACAGTTTATTCTTGTTGGCAGGCTATTTCGCATAATCAGAGGCAGCGTTAAGTCACATGAGAGAATCCAATCTGCCTTTCTTAAAGTTAAGACTCACTGTTCTGGCTTCCCTCATCACCAGTTAGTGATGGAGTACTATGAAAATTAAGTTAGCAGTAACATATGCCATTACGGCATGATATGAGACTTCTGTGTATCTCCGAGGTGGCAGTCATTTTTTGAAGTAGAGAGTATAGCAAACTGACAAGTTCTAATAAAAATAAAAATAAGCATTCCTACAAATTGCTTCAAATACGAAGTTAAAGGATAATTAATAAGTGTTACGCTCATATTCTTCAATAAGCTAATCTCAGAAAGAATTATTCGAAATCATGGCAACTCATCACTGTGAGTGTGATTTTGACGCTACTTCTATAATAAACTATATGAAGCGTACATTTTGTTAATTGGCTCCATTTAATAAATCATATTCAACTTATTGTACCGACAGCTTTCACTGTGCTCCGCATGCATATGTTTATCAGTTTGTGAAAAATATGAATTAACTAATGAAATGTGGTGTCGTCTTTTAATTATTTTCACAATTTTGGAAGATATGTCAACAATTGTCTTTATTTTCTTGACGAAAAGATTGAAAATAAAGGTGGAAATTGCACTGTGGGCTTTATCATTGACAAGTGTGGTTATCGCAATCGTTTTTATTGTTGTAGGATGTGATAGGGTAAGTTGGTTCAAATATCAAATTAACTGTTACACATCAGTTGTTCCTGTAATAGCCTGAATTGCTTTATGTTTCACATACAGATTCATACATTCACGAATATCATCATTCACTGTGAAATGCAGGAATATCCAGATTACAAGTCCCAAATAAAATGAAATGCTCATCCTACATTCCATTGCTATTCACTATACACTTATTACCTTCCAAATGAATAATATGTATTTACTTGAAACACCTGTAGATTGAAGTAACTTGAGAAGAGAAATCAACGTCACATAGTAAATAAGTCCGTTTTACCTTAAGATATTTATTCAATAAACACATATATATGGTTGTATTTATCACCAGAGGGTTCACGCTTAATAGATGCATTAATTGTTCTTTGGCTCAAAAGATTCATTCAAAAGACTTCCCGAGACTGAAGAAATACTTTTGAATCATCAACATGTATTTATCTGATGTCCAGGATGTGAAACAGCTGATGGACGACGAGGATTGGGGCACTGTGTTGGAGTTGAATTTCATCGATAGATATGCTTCTCATGTTAACTTTAACTGTATATACAAATTTACCTGTATCTGCAGGAGCAGTTACATTGGAAAGACAGGAAGAAGGGCATATCCATGATTTTCTCAACATGTACCAAAAAACTTATTTTGAAGGGAGCAAATGCTTTAAACAATGCCATCGCCAGGCATCTCTTTGACACGGGTCATGAGGTGGACGTCGCAAAATCGTTCAAAATTAACAATGGGCAAAAGATCTCAATTCTCCGCAAGTTTGTTGAAGCCATTTCCATCAAGCGCATGAAACCTGATATGTGTGTTTAGAAAGAAAGAGTTATCAGTCTTTCTTTGACCTGTAAACTGTATATCTTTATCCCTCTTTCATCTGAATGCGTAATGCTGAAAAGTTTCCATTGTGTATGATTATTATTGTTTGGAATGGTGTTTAATACTACATATATATGTATATATTAATATTGTACGCATGTATTGATTGATTTTTGAACAAAGCAAGAACTACAGTTGTTGCAAAATAAAGTAGTTTCATCTTTTATTTCGTTGCATTCTCGTCAGCTGCATACAGGCCAAAGACATAATTAAATATATCTACAAAAACAATTTTAACAGACAAACAATCAATCATTTCTATCATACGACTTAGGTAGAGTCGACTGGATTCAAATCATTGATTGACCACTCTGGGTCTCCAACTATCCTGCAGAAATTTTACCAGCTTAACTTCTGTGGTTTCACAGTTTTTCAGGTTCTACTATCCATAACCGATGCATTAACTCTGTTTTACTGTTTCATCGTGGTAGTTTGAATCTCTAATAAAAACAATATCGTTTTATTTTGACATCATCGTAAATTACAAATGTGATTTATAATATTAGAGAGTATTATCTGTTAACACCATTTCGCAACTTTCAGAGACTGTCATTAATCAGTCTAAATTGTTGAGCTTATTTCATACGTTGCAATGAATAAAAGAAGAATGACTAAAGTAATTGTTGGTCGGCACTAACTGGGGCCTACTTGTTGAACATACGCTAGATGACACAATCACCAACAAATATTCTGCATCGACATCCACTTTTCAGAACAATATGTAGAAAATTGAACCATGTCATTTTTCGTGATCTCTAAAAATTAAATGGAAAAAAAACGAGGTTTACTGAAGTCTATTCTTAAAAGGACTAACATCTTAGTCAAATGCAAAGTTCAGAGTGTGAATAAAATGTTTAGTCAAGTATTTTGATCATGTAAAACATCCTTAAGACTATGATAGCTCTCTGAAGATATGAATTGTAGTGATTGACACTGTGCTATTTTCCCTTTTTTGATTTAAAGAATTATAATTTGTCTTCCAAGAATTCTTTAGCAGATATTACCATTCCCAATGTTGCAATTTTAATGGATGGTATCTTTCACGATTTAAAGTTCTCGAATGTCTCAAAAATCTGAAACCCTTGATCCAGATCGTGTACCAACTCTTGTCTTTTTCTTCTTCATACAATATATTGTTGAGTTCTAGGAAGGTATCCCAACCAACGTTCTACATTATGACATCACTGCGTTTACAATTTACATGTTGTGTACAGTCACTTTTTCCATACCCTTAGTCTTCCCTGGTTGACACAAGAAGCAATATGCCAAACTTTTGAGTCTATTCAAGGTTGTCAATTATAGCATTTAGTCAATTTCTAGTAAGCTCGTTGCTACTGTAGTTTACAGACAACTCAACTCATGTCAGAAACGGTCAAAATTCACAATATCTGTCTCTCAACACCCTATTCAATTAGGAAATTTCCATCTGGAGATATGTGTTCATTCAATCAAGTCCAAAAACTCAGTGATACCCATATTCTCCCAAGATCCATGTGACGGAAAGACGTTTTAGGCATGAAACTTATAACTTACTACCTAATTACTAAAACGAAAGCCTATTTTATCTTCTCATGTTAGCACTTTATGAAGACACTAGTTGCATTATTTTTATAATTTTGGTGATTAATATAATCATTTCATGTTTGTGCATTATTATTACACCTAAATCCATATTATCGGTTTTGGTTATCCATGCCATATACGTTTTGAGTCATTTCGATGGAATATTTTAATAAATACCGAGAATTTCATGCTGCATCATATGTACTGTGTTGGAATAAGGCAAATTAGTATGATAATTGTGTGAGTCAAACGGTTTGTCCAGGCCTGGTTGCAGATCGCTTCTTTAGTGTCCCTACTGTACTGTCGGGAACTGACTGTAAACATGCAAATACTATCAATAAGCATACTGACGTCCACTAATAGAATTCACTCCTGGAGAACCATACTGAAATTCTCATTTATGATGAAAGGGTCTTTCATACAGTCTGAAAATGCAATGATCTCGGTTATTATTTTCTTGGAAGTCGTGGCCTTTAACATTCAATAATAGCTGCGTAAACACAATAATTCATAAAATTCCACTGTCTGGGAGTGTCTTTTATTCTTTCGAGTCATTTGATGTATTTAACTTTATTTTGCAGAACATCTGCGTAGTAATAGCAAGTGGTTTCTTCAACACTACTCTGTCTTTGGTAAGTGCATGCTCTTTGTGATTTGCTGGGAGTAAAACACTTATTCTGATTATCAAAATGTATTTTATGTTTAACATATCATTTATTTTTACTGATTCCATTATGCAATGATATGTTAACAAGACAAAAAGTTGAACAGTTCACGTTTTTATGTCACCTTTCTGCTTTCAGATCACAGTAATTCTCGCAGACATGTTCAAATGAGTTTCGCATCAGATATCTGTGTGACAAAGTGTCCTAACATACTGTCAACCTAATTTCAAATTTTGGATTTCGCATTCCATATTTTCTGCATGTTAACAGTTGACTGTAAGATAATTCACGTATATTTTATTTAACGTAATATTTAATAAGTCAGACTTTCACAAAAGAATAAACGTGTTATGCATTCTCATTTATGTGATTTCGGCTCTCTTGTGGATCTTTACGTTTCGGGTAAGCTAACTCACACTCTTATATCGGTGAACTGAAAGCAATACTATATTCACCTAAGTGTATGTATCGCAACATAAAGCAATACAGACTGAACGCGTGGAATGCAATAGTTGTCAGTAAAGTTGCAGCGTATATTCACATTGAATTTGGAGAAAAGCATGTGCATTATTTGGAAATGTACTGCCATTTGACTGTGTTTGCATTTTGTCATACAAAACATGATAATTTAACAAAATAACCATTCCTGGGAGAATAGATATAGAGATACCGCAATCTAGTATATTCACCTTCAGGATTCAATGTCCCTGTAGCGTGTTGTGTCACATCCGTACGCTTGTTTACAGATTTATGAAAGTGCAAATGGTGGGAGTCCAAGACCTACATTTGATGCATTGTTTACGCTGAAGGGCGCAGGCAAATACTCAGGAAGCGGTAGTTTACCACATTTAGTTCATCAAATGTGCGTACGTATATCTTTCTGAGCAACCATCATCTAGCCAAAACAACAACTAGGTATTCAGAAGAAGGTCATTTGCACTAACATAGAGCTGTGTAGCTGCCAGTGAAGAAAAGATGCAATATAAAAATCGGATATTTATGCAGACGCTATACTTAAAGTTTTCTCTTCATTTAACAAGCCATAATCTTCTGCGTAATGTGTGAAAACAATAAGGATGGTAGTATGAAAGAATCAGCTGTTTAGTGCAAATAATATCCATTGTGTGACAGGCTTCACCAGGAGTACGAGAATCATCGATTTAGATCCTTGAATACAAATAGTAAAATGCGTTATTATATCGTGCACATACTACTCAGTTATTACTTCTGCTTAAAAAATTTGACATCATTGGACTACCATAATTCACAGCATCATACATTTACGTAGTGCTATAAGTCGAATAACTACAATTCTGTCAATCCCACTTTTACTGTTTACTTTCAAGCAAGAGACAAGTATAACCACTATGTCGGCCATTACAACCCACTGTAAAAGCAGCTATCACGAATGTGAAAACTAAATTGATTCTCATCCAAACCCATGTTTCATACGTTAACCAAGTCAGGCTGTATGAACATAAAACGTTCATCTCATAAGAAGTAAATTCCACACAAACATATATATAAAAATGGGTGATTTCATTTGTGATGATTTGTCAGGCTTCAGTGCATACTCAACTTATAGTTTTGTGAATAGGTGACACTAATCACCTGTGTACACTACGTGTTAAAAGTTTCTCTCACCGTTTAAATTAAGGATTTCATCGGGTGTATCACCAATCTAGTATGGGTCTAAAGTGACACATCTGGATTTGTGAATATCCACAAGTATTCAGTGTTTTCCCATGTCATTCCTTTGTATCTCTCGGACATATTTCTTCCAGGTTTCGCTCGATAATATTATAATTTCAATGAGCCCATAAAGACTGACACCACTATGCAAAGTATTCTCAATTAGAGATTATGATAGGATAAAAATAATGGCACGTAATATATTTGTGCGGAAATACAGGTTAATCAAAGAATCTTTTTTATTTTGCAAGATCTTCAAATTTACATCTCAAAATCTGTAAATAGCAAGTAGTTTTATTTCTTATGTTTTACAGTTTGCGTGTTATGAATTGAGCCTCTTACTACCCTTTGTAACTGTCTTAATCCAGCGAACCATATTTCAAGTGAGCATTGTTGAAACGTAATTTTTAGATTCACAAGAAATTTTCCGCCATCTTTTTCATGACCACACTTCCATTGTGATTAGAAAACGAATATGTACAGCTTCCACTTCATCCACAGAAAGAGGCTTGGAGCACAATGACATTCAAAGGTCTCTTCAGAATGTGACCAATCAACTTGAATCTTCCTCCAACTATTAGTTGAGCTGTGGTGAGAGCAGGCTGCAGGCCAAAAACTGTAGATAACAATGTACGTCAGTGTCCACGTCCCTAATCGGGGTCATGAGAAAAACGATAACAAAGGTTAACCTTGAGAAAATCACCAGAAAATTACAGTGAAGAAAAAGTGTGGAAATATGATTCACAGGTATATGGGTTAATTTTTTGAGAAGCGGCCACAAAAAGATAACAAAATAACCCTCAGCAGGAAACACAATCAATCAGAGGAGGTTTCTTCTCATCTAACAATAACGCCTATAACAATGCAAATAGAAAAACATATGATAGGCATAAAGTTGTGAAATGATGAATAAAAAATATGATCAGCTTATATTTATTTTGTGGAATATCAAACTTCACGACTTTTCATGAAATTCGTTATCAGACTAACCATCAGTACAGCGAGAATGCTAATGAATGGAGACAGATAGGTTAAAGTTGTATGCAAATAACAAAAAATTCTAATATACTTCGATTTTTAATGAAAAGCGAATGACTGTTTCTCCTTATATATTTATGTAAACTCTTTACGTATACCATTTTGAGGATTATTCATTAGGTGATTGCAGTTAAAAAACCAATGAAATCCAGTATTGACCGGATAACCCTTCAGTTTTTGTTTGGGACACATCAAAAGTATGCACTTATGACCCTGAACCTAGAGATAGAACTTAGAGCTTCAATTTTACAGGACAAGATCATATACCTTGGAGACATTGGTATGGAATCCAATAACCTATTAATTCTAATTTCTGCCAATTAGCGATATAAAGCGTGGCTATCCACCAATATCATTGACTTCTATTTAACTTAACAACAATTTTGCTGTCTGCGAAATAGTAATTTTTACTGTAATTTACTGACTAACGTCAAAATAAGCGGTACATTTTGGTGCTTGGAAACACTCATATACAGTCGTTCTGTTATAATGTGTTAAAGCCAACACCAAGTGCACTCGCACTGAAATAGAACAACTCCGTCATTTGTGATAAACCGCATGAATAATATTTCGAATTCAAGCAAATACATCAATGAAATATTGAAAACTGTAGTTAAGATCGCCGAACGAATTACGCCGCTGCAGAAGTGGACTTTTGAAAAGTATGTATGATATCGCCCGCTAGAAAATTGGAAATAAATATATATGTTTTCAACGAAGGCAGTAACTAGGCTGTACATTTATGTATTTACATTTAATGTGAGAAAAAATCCAGAATTGTTTCCGGTCAAAGGCCAACTCATTAGATTTACTTAATGTAATAAGCAGAAAAAAGGTGGTGGTACTATTCTAGAAACATTTCAGGTCAAACGTCAAATTAAAAGTTACAATGATTTATGATGTGTAACGTCGGGTAGGAAAGATATACTAAGTTAAAATTACTCAGAAGTGTCTTTATAAATGAAGCTAAAAGTTGAAAATTGAGTAGTACTCAACGGCACGAAAGAAAGAAAGGAATAAAATTTTGATTAGGTTAAAGGTAGTTGATTGTCAATTTAACAAATGTGAAAGGGGTGTTTTAAAAGGAACATATGAGAGTGTTACTAGTGAATTAAATATTACAGTTAAGGCAAACTAAAACAAAAATTGAAAATTGACGAAAATTAATAAAAAAATGTTTACAAGGAACGACCACTGAAGAGGTTAAGACCATGGTGGAATGAGAGATCACGTTTGTATTGACGAACTGACAGCGCCTACGCCTTAATAAAGGTCGAAAGCTGACGTCTTTTTTATCATTTCGCTTCACCGTGTGGATGATTTTGAAGGATGAATCAGGTGGAGTTGTGTTGCATGAGTTCACTAAGTGCCCAAGGATTGAGGTAATAACTACCTTGCAGTCTAAACATAACAATAATTTCCTGTGGGCAGACTTGGCAATCGTGAAGGATCAAGTCCAGTAGGTTGAACACGGTTGTAGGCTGCCTCTGAGAAGACTCCATTGCTTCACGGCTCCTCTCAGCGTGTTTATTTGTGAGCTGCATTTCACCCTTTTCGTCTACATCTGTTGGGTTGTTAGGCCAGTGGAATTTTGTTTCATTGGTTGGAATCGAATTCATCTTGTCAACGTAATGCATTGTGTCCCTAAATGATGTCAACCCACATTATTCTCATTATGGATACTCATTTCAAATTCCTATTTTCCTTCCTAAGTAAACCGTGAGACTTTGTAATTATTATCCTTTTTTCTCCTAGACTGTGCATCATTTTTCTGAAGTTTGTATTTCATCCGTTGATTTAATCTATATTATTTGTCTTTGTCCCTGTTTAATGTATAATTTTATTATTCTTCTTAGTGGGTGGGGGATAATATTGATGTGTTGATTAACGACTATGACTTTTCTTCAGTAAGTGGAAGTCATTCTGACCATTGACTGTCTGCTAGGATTGTTTGATGTATGACAATTGTTGATAGAGTTTTGGTCCCACCTTGTTGAGAATATACTTCTTGATTGTTCGGAAAATCTTCCAGTTCATACTTGGTTTACTAATTTTGCCGTACAGTACTTTTTTGTGCTGTGAATTCTTTGATATGTATTCTGTGATCTACCCAACGGCCTTGTTGAGGTATTTCTGAGTTTCTGAAGTATTATTACTGTTGAATAGTTTATCTTTTTTTATTGAAAATAAATCTCTTTTTTCCACCGTCGGGGATTTTATTTGGACTGTTCATTACTCAAGAAAGTTTTGATCAGGAATACAGTAGGAAGCGGATATTGTTTTTCCGATTTCTGATCCTGTCAATTCGGGTTTGTCACTATATTTCCGGTCACTATCAACACAAAACTGGATTCGAAACCAGATAAACTTAAGAATAATTGGAAACAATCGAAACTAGCAAAATGGAAATGGAAGCAGTTAGCTTACGCGATGAATCTTTTCAGGTGTAAGGTATGCGTCAGAAAACTTTCACTTAATTTCCCGTATATACCTTAGACATTGTTCAACAACATTTTCGACAATATCATTCATATTTCGTGGTCATAGTACGTTTTGTTTCTTAGTGTTATTATATTTAAAACGGAACAAGGTTTGTCACAGTAAGCGAATTATATATGATGTTTGTGAACTGCCACACATATATACACACACAAAAAATCACCCATATTCATGCAAGACAACGAGGAAGTACTGAAAGTTTTCATCATAGAATTCTTTTTGGTTGAATAATCCTAGTGCGGCTTAAAAAATTTAAAATCAAAGTCATTGATTAAGTCAATTCGATGAGTCGAAGAATCATCTAACTGTCGTATGTCTGACTTTTTTGGTGAAAATGAATATTTATTGTTAAGAGTTAATGCATCAACAGACGAATTCATATTAGCTATCTAGTTGTTAGCAAAAATGTTTGTCCTGAAAAATTGAGTTAAATTGTTCATTATTTAGTAACATATTTTCAAGAATTAGCATTTCATTGCTAGAATTGAACTAGAAAGTTTATGCAATCATACTGCGAATAAAGAAAATCTCAAATTGGTTGCTAAGGGGCCAGCAACTGCTTCTACTCTTCGAAGACAAATATATCTGAATTGTATGTCATTCAGTTGTAAGAGTCAAAGCAGTTGTATGCGTCTGTATCCGTTAGAAATACATA